GAGCTGAAGCTCACCCCGCCACCACACCTACCTCAGTACATATACACATGACCGTAATCTGGGCCTAAACGTATGTAGCACTCCACTGCTGAGCCTATTGGGCTCTATCATATCTACCCTTAAAACTGTGGTGGAGGCTGACTCCATACACAGTTTCAAGTGTAGATATGATAAGAGCCCAAAAGGCTCAGGAACCTGTACACCTGTTGATTGACGGTTTGAGAGGCGGGACCAAAGAGCCAGAGCTCAACCCCCGCAAGCACAACTAGGTGAGTACTGCCTCATACACTAGTAAACAATGGTTCTCCTCCAAGGGGACCCCCCCCTCCCCCCCGGGACCACGTGGAGGATAGAGTCGTGTAAACAGCCCGGCCTCCTAACCTTTCCCAACGTCAAGAAACAGCCGTACTAACGTGCCCTAATCCTAACCTGCCAGAGGACCCAAAACATAAAACGGGACAGTGTCAATTTCGCGGCTTAGCGTCCCCGCGGCCCGGTCCTCGACCAGGCCTCCTATTTTATTACACATCTCCCAGGAAGCAGCCCGTAGCAGCTGTCTAACTCCCAGGTATACCTATTTACTGCTAGCTGAACAGGAGCATCAGGCTGAAAAGAAACATTTTGGCCATTTGACTCCACCGGGGATAGAACCTGGAGCGTCAGGACTACGAATCCGACCCGCTGTTCACTCAGCCGTCAGGCCCCACCCCCAGCAGGGAACACACATGAAGTAGACGGTGCACAGGTGGTGCACAGGCGGTGCACAGGTGGTGCACAGGCGGTGCACAGGCGGTGCACAGGTGGTGCACAGGCGGTGCACAGGTGGTGCACAGGTGGTGCACAGGCGGTGCACAGGCGGTGCACAGGCGGTGCACAGGTGGTGCACAGGTGGTGCACAGGAAACACATTGGACACCTGAACTACGGACTATCTTCAAGTTCCTTTAACCCTTGTACTTCCCTTTGCCAGTGCCCCCCCCCCTCAACTCCCCTTTCTCCCCCCCCCCTACACTACACCTATCCCCCCCCCCATCACCCCACTATCAACTCCATTTCTCCTACAATACCGCCCTCCCCCCCTCTCTCTCTCTCCCCTCATTTGTGAGTGGTTCCTTTCTCCTCGCACTGCTCAACCAGCTAGTCTACCCCTTCCACCGCCTCCCCTCTCCCATCCCCGTCACACCAACACCATCCCCTTCCCTGTTAACTCGCTAACAACAACAGGTAGCTCGACCATTTCCATCCCTTGTACACAATACTGGTGGCCAAGTTGTTTACCGTACTACCACCACCAACCAGGAATGGAAGACCCACCACCACCACCAGCGGAAGCCGCCGCCACCACCACCACCACCACCATCACCACCAACCAGGAATGGAAGACCCACCACCACCACCAGCGGAAGCCGCCGCCACCACCACCACTACCAGCCACTAGCGGAAGCCACCACCATCACCACCAACCAGGAATGGAAGACCCACCACCATCAGTCCCATAGCGAAGCTTCCCACAGCACCACCACCACACACTTTCCCACACCACCACCACGACGACCTCCGGCAGGGAGTATTTACCTGTTTACTGATGGTCAAACAGTAGGTGGAGGAACGTGTTAGTGTGTGTGTACATTTACCAGACTGGACGAGTCCTTCCCACCTCCACTACGCACCTAGAGGGAACCAGAGAGAGGGAGAAGAGAGAGAGAGAGGAGAGGCGACCCAGATAAAGCCAGAGGGAGACTCAAACCCAAGCCCCCGGCCGTAACCCCGTGGGGGCGGCCATGGGGGACTATCCCCAACTCAGAGTAATAAGAGGCAGGGGAAAGAGGAATAAGAGGCAGGGAGGGGGAGGGAGAGAAGATGGGGGGTGAAGGTCTTTTCTCCTCTGAACCCGACCTCATTTCATCCCCCCAAACCCCCCCCCCATTCTCTTTCAATATTTCCCTGGTGGTAACCCCAGGCAAGAAGGACGTAACCTACTTTAACCTGGGGGCCAGAAGTTCGCCCTTAGGGCCACCGGCCACAGGGGTCACCACCACTGTGGGTCTATCAGGTCCCCCCCCCTCTTGTCCACCGCGATTACGTCACGGCACGTTACTGTGGGTGCCCACCACCAGAGCTCCTGGGGACACGGGAGAGCAGAGGACACATGGGACAGGGAGAGCAGGGGACACATGGGACAGGGAGAGTGGGGGACACAGCAGGGGACACATGGGACAGGGAGAGCAGGGGACACACACAAGACAGGAGAGGAGAACTACCGGAGACAGTAATGGTACAAAACTCGACACACACCGGAAGCAGTCTAAGAACTGAGGGAAAGAGAAAAATGTGAGGAAGAAGGAGATATAAGAGAACCAAGAAGCTGTCACCCACAAAAGTGTAGGGGGGGAGGGGGGGGAGGGGGGAGCAGACAAAGAACACCATCAATAAGACATCTTCTTGAAGGCCCCCCTCCCTCCTCCCCCCCTACTTAACCCCTTTTTGTTGGCATTCAAAACTCTACTTCACCTTGACAAAAATTGACCCCTCCTTCGACCCCTTAAAGAAGGGGGGGGGTGATTTGTGTCGCTGCCCCAACCAAACAACCCCCCCCCCCCCTTCCTCCACACGCTGACAAACCCCTGACCAATGAGGCTGTGCGTGTTAGCAGCCCCCACAACCCGTAAGATCAACTCATGCAACAAACACTTCAACCTTGGCTTCAGCAACACATTTGTGCTAGGGTGTTGCGGAAGTCAGGTGTTGCAGACTCTTCCCGCAGGAGCCAAACGCCCACTTTGGGGACTCGAACCCCGGCAAGCACAAACCCCGCCTCTCAATTCATGCCGCATGAAATGGTCAGGTATTTTAGGCCCAGCCGCCATCTTCCTCTCCCTCTCTTGTGCCTATGAGACAAGGTTCAAGGAAGCCCAAGGAAGCCCAGAAGGTAAAGCAGGGTCAAGAAGGAGAGACGAGAGAGGAGAGGAGAGGCAGGAGAAGGGAAGCAAATGAACAATATAGACCCGATATTAACAAAGGAAGACTTCCGGACAATTGCACAACATTGTGTAATGGTTCGTTCTCTGTGTGTCTGTCTCTCTCTCTGTCTGTCTGTCAGCTGTGCCGTGTTCCTGGTGGGGAGAGAGCACAGGTTCATGGTTCAGCACACAAGGTGGAGGACACGGTTCATGGTTCAGCACACAAGGTGGAGGACACGGTTCAGCACACAAGGTGGAGGACACGGTTCAGCACACAAGGTGGAGGACACGGTTCAGCACACAAGGTGGAGGACACGGTTCAGCACACAAGGTGGAGGACACGGTTCAGCACACAAGGTGGAGGACACGGTTCAGCACACAAGGTGGAGGACACGGTTCAGCACACAAGGTGGAGGACACGGTTCATGGTTCAGCACACAAGGTGGAGGACACGGTTCATGGTTCAGCACACAAGGTGGAGGACACGGTTCAGGGTTCATCACACAAGGTGGAGGACACGGTTCAGGGTTCATCACACAAGGTGGAGGACACGGTTCATGGTTCAGCACACAAGGTGGAGGACACGGTTCATGGTTCATCACACAAGGTGGAGGACACGGTTCAGGGTTCATCACACAAGGTGGAGGACACGGTTCAGGGTTCATCACACAAGGTGGAGGACACGGTTCATGGTTCATCACACAAGGTGGAGGACACGGTTCATGGTTCATCACACAAGGTGGAGGACACGGTTCAGGGTTCATCACACAAGGTGGAGGACACGGTTCAGGGTTCATCACACAAGGTGGAGGACACGGTTCATGGTTCAGCACACAAGGTGGAGGACACGGTTCATGGTTCATCACACAAGGTGGAGGACACGGTTCAGGGTTCATCACACAAGGTGGAGGACACGGTTCAGGGTTCATCACACAAGGTGGAGGACACGGTTCAGGGTTCATCACACAAGGTGGAGGACACGGTTCAGGGTTCATCACACAAGGTGGAGGACACGGTTCATGGTTCATCACACAAGGTGGAGGACACGGTTCAGGGTTCATCACACAAGGTGGAGGACACGGTTCAGGGTTCATCACACAAGGTGGAGGACACGGTTCAGGGTTCATCACACAAGGTGGAGGACACGGTTCATGGTTCATCACACAAGGTGGAGGACACGGTTCAGGGTTCATCACACAAGGTGGAGGACACGGTTCAGGGTTCATCACACAAGGTGGAGGACACGGTTCAGGGTTCATCACACAAGGTGGAGGACACGGTTCAGGGTTCATCACACAAGGTGGAGGACACGGTTCAGGGTTCATCACACAAGGTGGAGGACACGGTTCATGGTTCATCACACAAGGTGGAGGACACGGTTCATGGTTCAGCACACAAGGTGGAGGACACGGTTCATGGTTCACAAGGCCGGGAGTGTACACCAGTGGTGATCACATTCCTGTCTTCCAGTCATAACTCTTTACAAGTGCTGGCAGACGCCCGAGGAGGAACCCGTAGCTCTTGTAACTTCCCATCACACCTCCAGCAGGTTAATGTATTACATATTTCTAACCTGATACACCAGCGTCTTCCACGGCTGACCTGCCGTCTCGCCAAGACTAACAGTCTGCCACTAGGCCTACAGGCCTCTCAAGGAAGGGTGGTACACTAAGCTGGAACCAATTGCCCAACAGTTGGTATTCATGCAGAGGAACAGACGATGCTAATGCTTCATTTGCGCTCACATGCTGGCAGCATAGGCCTACACTGTGGACCCTACATAGGCCCAGACAGAGGCCTGCTACAGGGTGGTTTATCCAGCTGAGTTAAACAAGGTAGGCCTACATAGTATAGGTATCATAACTTAGACAATCTAAGCTAATACACCACAAGATCCAATACCGAACCAATCATGTGATTACAACCATGTTAATTAAGGTGTTTGTAACTAAGTCTATGTATACTCTACTATGTATACGGAGCGATACATTACTACCCAGTACCTCCAGTAGCGGGTGAAGAAGAAGAAGAAGACACTAACCTCTTTGGTCCAAGGACCCTTGACCAGTTCGGGGTTGACCACCTTGTGCCACCGTTGTTGACACTGAACGTCGTTACGGTCAAGGAAGCAGCCAGCGATCACTTCCCACTTCTCCCCGTGTTGTTCCAGCAGCGACTTCAGCTTCTGTAGACACGCACAGCTACTCTTAGTACTTGTACACACACACAGGCACTCTTAGTACTTGTACACACACACAGGCACTCTTAGTACTTGTACACACACACAGGCACTCTTAGTACTTGTACACACGTACACACTACCTGGGTCAGTGTACACACACACACACACACACACACACACACGTGTCAATAACATGAAATAGCAGTAATACTGAATCCCCAGTAACCCTGACTTGACAGCTGCTGCTGACCTGACAGCTCTGTGATGGTCTGACCGAGCCCAGCTGGGCCTTTGACAGCTGCTGACCCCGTCTGAGGGGGGCAGTTGACCCTTAGTTACCCATGTTGCTCTTGACCCCTGACCCCCCCCCCCTGTCACATGGTAGCCTTAAATATACCTTCTGAAACCCTCAAATCCATCTTATTCTTGACACACACACACACACACACACACACACACACGGGGTGACCCAGGAAGTGTGTATATATATATATAAATACTAATTACCAGGATGGATCAAAATACCTCTTTCATATGTGTGTATTCTCTTGTTCAGACTGTCCCCCTGATTACGTCCCTAGATGACCCGCCTGACCTCTAGGTGACCCCTGGTGACCCCCAGTGACCCCTGGTGACGTACCTCGTCCTCGTCCTTGGTCCAGCGGCCCTTGTTGACGTGCTTCTTGAGCCTGACGCCGGAGGTGGAAGACGGTAGGTCGTCCTCGAGGGAGGACGACTCGTCGATCTCGTACTCTTCGTCAGTAAGCTCGTCGTTAGAGCACCACTCGTCGTCCGCGTTACTGCGTGACAGTAAGGGAGAAGGGAGACATGATTACTACATACAAACTTCTCAGGGAGAATTAATAGGGTACATACAGACAGTTTAACACAGGTGGAACTCCACTACCTACAGCGACCACCACTACCACCACCACTACCTACAGCGACCACCACTACCTACAGCGACCACTACCACCAGCGACCACCAGAGCATCACAAGGTATTCCGGTCATCTGAAATCGATTTACGAGAGGGACAAAAGGCGAAGCTCACCCGCCTCACCTGCCTGTCTATAGGCGTCACCTGAACCTTCTCTTCCCTCCCTATATCCTGCCAATATATAGTCAGCCTGCCAGCCTGCCAGCCTGGCCACTAGTCAGTCAACCAGCCTGCCTGTCAGCCTGGCCACTAGTCAGTCAACCAGCCTGCCTGTCAGCCTGGCCACTAGTCAGTCAACCAGCCAGCCTGCCTGCCTGGCCACTAGTCAGTCAACCAGCCAGCCTGCCTGCCTGGCCACTAGTCAGTCAACCAGCCTGCCTGTCAGCCTGGCCACTAGTCAGTCAACCAGCCTGCCTGTCAGCCTGTTCACTAGTCAGTCAACCAGGTTGCAAACACTGTCACACATTCCACAAAGTCCGTAATGTGAAAATAATCTAAAAAAAACTCCAGTATGTTCAACCAATTCAATGTCTAGGGACGTGATAAATGGTTCCCTAAAAAACTGTGTGAGAGGCATATGGGAAGGCGGGCGTCGCAGACCTGGACGCCTGCAGGAGGGACTCGCATCAGGGGCGGGAAGGGACTATGCTACACCAAGGTCACGGTGATAGAAGGGCGGGTGGAGAGTCAATAGGGGAGTGAGGGGAAAGGGGAGAGAATAGGGGGACACACACTGGGAGGGGAAGAGGAGAGATATAGCGAGAGACAGGCCTGAGTGATCAGGTCCCCCCTCAACCCCAACTCTGTCCCTGGAACTAGCGACGGGGTAGGAACCATAGGCACACAACAGTTGAGAGGCGGGACCAATGAGCCAGAGCTCAACCCCCACAAGTACAACAAGATGAGTACAACAGGACCATCACAGCTCCACGGCTCAACACTCCAGCCAGCATAAGAAATATTGCCGGAACAAAAGTGAACTTTAAGAAGCCATTAACAAGTTTCTCCAACAAGTACCGGATCAACCGGACTGTAGTGGATATGTGCAACTGTGACCCCGCGCCAAGCAACAGTCTGCTGGACCATATTGTCAAGGATTCCAGTATCCCAGGGCGAACTTTGGAACACAAGTGGCGGAACCCCATCTTCAGGTAAGCCTAATAATTAAACGACAGTAGTGTGGGGGTTGAGAGGCGGGACCAAAGAGCCAGAGCCCAACTAGGTGAGTACTAGCACATGCCACACACACACACACACAGTCAGGACCATATGCCCCATACCGCGTGTATATATCACTTGTATTATGACAGCGTACCATATAGGTGTATGTGTAGTTACCATGGCCCGGTGCCCCCATACACCACCCCTACACCACTACCATACAGTAGGCAGGACATAGAGCACCAGGCACTAATGTAAGAGGTGTTCCGTGTAGCGGGGTGGGACAGGTGGTGGTGGAAGAGGACCCTCCCATCCCCCTCTCCCATGCCAGCCTCCAGAACAACACACCTGGCAGACCCATGGTACTAGTCCCCGACAAGTCAGGCTACTTTACACCCTCCGTCACCTCTACCCAAGGCTCTCTCTCCTCCCAGCCGGTCTGGACCATCAAACCTGCCGGCTGGAACATGGGGAATAAGGCGGGGAACTATCCCCACATGTTCCCCACCCTCCACGTCATCTCTCCATTCTACCACACGTCTCTTCCTCTTATCCACTTCCTTTCCATACAGTTTCCCTGCCCATGGCACCACCATCTCTTGACAACAGATACAAGGCTCTTCCCACCTGATGTGAGCGCCGGAGCTGTCTTGTGTGCGTACACACACACACCTCTCAAGATTCCCACACTACGTACACGTACAACCAGGAGAGTACGTACAACCCCTCGCCACACCAGGGGCGCCACTGGAGCGCCTGGTGTACCACCAGGAGCCAGATTCACGAAGGAGTTACACAAGCACTTACGAACGTGTCCATCTTTCCTCAATCTTTGACGGCTTTGGTTACATTTATTAAACAGTTTACAAGCATGAAAACTTGCCAATCAACTGTTATTGTTATAAACAGCCTCCTGGTGCTTCGGAGCTCATTAACTGTTTAATAATTGTAAACAAAGCCGCCAAAGATTGAGAAAGGATGGACAGGTTCGTAAGTGCTTGCGTAAGTGCTTCGTAAATGGCTCCAGGAGACTAACCAGGACATATAGGTAGCCCTACTACCTACCCAGGATAGGTAGTGAGAGCCTACCTACTAGGCTCTGGGTAGGTAGTACTAGTAACCCCACTACCTACCCTACCCAGGGTAGAGGCCCCCCCCCCAGCCTCACCACCAGTACCTGGGGGTACCCACACATGTACCCAGGAATGTCCCCAACCCCACCACTTTCTCCCCCTCCTAATGACACTTGGTGTTATTTAAATATGACCGACCCCCCACTTTCCCATATCGCCCCCTCCCCCCCCAGTATCTCCCTGTACCCCCCCCCCCCTCTTCATGAGAGGTACAAGAGAGACCAGCGAAATGACTGAAGGCAGAACAGTTTAGACATCAATCATTAAGACATTGCAACCCGTTCTCGCAAATTTAATAAGTCAATATTGACTTTTCAACCCGTCCTCTTAAAAAGAACGTCACTTTTGGCTGGTATGCGCGATATGGCTAAATTTGGACGTAATTTGAAATGAAATCGACTCACAAAAGTGACGTTCTGTTCCGTTTTCTATTTGAGTCGTCCGCCTTACGCGCAGAGGTTATAAGAGGACACTTTAAATTCACGTTTTTCATAACGTTTTGAAACTTTATGAGAATTTCCTGCCCACCTAACCTATCAGAGGACCCTTAACTTACTGTTGTTGAAAAAAGAAATCCCAAATTTATTTTAATTTTTTTTTCATTTTCAAATTACGTCCAAATTCGGCCATACGGGCAAACGGCCAAAAGCGACGTTCTTTTTAAGAGGACAGGTTGCGACCATGTGAGACAGCAGAGCTGACCAACTCAAAGGTGGAGAAACACCAGCTTCCTGAGTATGGATGAGACGGCCCCTGCTGGCGCCCCACACACACTGTAAATGTTACAACGTCAGTAGGTTCCAGCAGCCCCTAGCGCCCCTGTTGCAGCCCCTAGTGTGGTGGTGAACAAGCAGGGGCACAGGAAGGTGGGTGTAGAGAGATAATGGGAGCCAGAAGAACAGAGGGACGTGGGGCAGGAGTCAGCAGGGGGCGGCGTTGTCTCATTCATAGACCACCAACGAAACCCACACCACACACACACACCAGATTTAAAGCCCACTACCACCACCACCCAAACACTACCATCATGCCCATTACCACCACCACCACCCACTACCAACATGCCCACCGTAGGCACCACTACCCCCCCCCACCAGTGGTGTTCCACTGGCACCCATGTACACTAACCTTCCCTACACCTGTTGCTTCACCCACCACCACAACACATGTATCAGCCCAACACTTGACAACACTCCAATCAGTGCCCAACCGCTTCCCTCCCCGGCACTATGCCTATCCCACCATACCCCGTCCGGTAATTACAATGGCACCACAACGACCAACAATAGGACATTGTCATATTATAACAATATACAAGTATATAATCTGTGGATTATATAGACCAGTTGACGAGAGGCGAGAGGAGGCGGGACCCAGGAGCCAGAGTACAACCCCAGCAAGCACAATTACAGGAGTTACTCCTCGGGTAACTACCAGTTCCACCTGGCCTGTGTTATTCATGACCAATACTGGTATATTGTTGTTACACTACGGGTTATACACACGTGCCCCCCCCCCTCACGTACACCAACACGTGCACCACCACCTGGGAGGAGGAGGGTGCACGTGGTGGTCCCACCGGGTCCTGGGTAGGCCTACTGTAGGCCGTGTGAACAACATGCCCCCCACCCCCCAACCACAGCCTGGGCAAGAAGCCACTCCACTACCCTACCCTGTGCCCCACACACACACACATGCCCACCTCCACTTGGCAGTCTCCAAGCATTAGATCCCACCACGCTCCCTCACCCCAGCAAATGGTAGGCCCGACAAGGAACCATATGGCAGATCCAACCGTTCTGGTCACACACCTGGCAGTCATATCACATCCAACATGTTCCTCAAGCTCAATTCTCCGGGCTCACCATAGCCCGTGCTACTAGCAACTTTTTGTTCCAGGTAGCCAATCTTTAACAACAACACATCAACTGCAGCTAGGTATTTAAGGCTGACCAATATAAGTGAGAAAGGGAGGTGGGACCTGCTGCATGGGTAACAGCTTCTCCTCCATATCAACCTACCGTGGCTTTACGCCCTGGAGAAGCCACTCCAGACCGACAACCAGAGCCCAACTCCACATTCTTTTGAGACATGGATGCTAACAATGTAGATTAGAGTGGAGAGCAGAGCAGCTCAAGTCCAAGGACTCGACAGGACTGCTGGCAGACATTCGACAAGCGATACACGAGACAGGACTTGAGGACTTACAAGCGCTGTGAAGTATGAACCAACGAGGTCATTACCTCCAGCTAAACTACACACCTTCAAGAGCCTATCTGACAACGTCGGGATTAACTCTCACAAGAAAGTCCACTGCGACAAGGCAGACCCCAAGAGCCACTCGCCCCCCCCCCAGCCTGTGAGCACCATTGGGCAAGCACAGATGTGCACCCCACCTTACACAGGTGTGTGCGCAACCCTTCTCCACAGGTGTAGAGATGTACACACAGTGAAGTGAGGGACAAGTGCAGGCTCCCTGACCACAGGTGTTGGTGTGACCACCCGCCGTCACCTGGAGCAGTTAGTGACCTGCTCCTCGACCACTGCCACACCTTCTCTAACCACTA